TTCGTGCTGATAACGTGTTATAAAATAAAAGTAATGCAGTAAAATGTAAATAAGAAGAGATAGTTAGAAGGGAGAAGTGTTTTATTCTTTCACTTTGGTGTATTTTTCTATTGCAATTACATGGCCTTTTATAGGCATAAAAAGTAAAGATGATGGACATAAAGTAGGAAATTTAATCTTTAAGTTATTCACAACATGGGCATCCAATGTAGCATCCAATGTAATATCCAAAGTCGTATCCAATGTACAAACTATTCATGACAGAGTTGTTATTTTTTAATGTGTAATAGTCTCTCCAGACTTTGTGTAGTAGTCTTTTGCGAGTGGAAAATTTGTCACTATAATGCTAATATTATGTTGTACCACTCATATATTACATTTTCCACGTTGTGTTTACTGTCGTATTCTTGTTAGTTACCGTTGATATTAATATTGTGGATATTAATGTTTCCATGTGGGACATTCTTTCCCAACAAATATACTACTCTTTTGCTACAGAGAGTCACAAACATTTCAAAGAAGAAAGGAAACCCAAAACGGAGATATGGCAAAGATTCAGAGGTGTAACTATGTTATGTATCTCTTGGTTTTAATATTGTTGATGATGAATATTTTCTTTTTTATTAAAGAGTTGGAGTCAAAGAGCAAATGCAGCGAGCAGGAGAAGAAGAAGCTGAGTTGGAGCCAGAGAGCAGCAGAGGAAGCAGAAGCAGTAGCCTCAATTTCATGCTCAGGCCATGGAAAAGCCTATCTTGATGGCCTTGTTGTAGGTGGAATTCCTACTTGTGAATGTTATACTTGTTATGCTGGACCTGATTGCTCTTTACTTATCCCCAACTGTTCTGCTAATGCTTTCGACTGACCTCCCTTATGGTTTACAATATTACACTTACCTTTCTTATTTAGATTTCTTTGTAATAAGCATAGGGGGAGCTAGGGGTGCGGAAGGAAATTCATCCGAACCCCCTTCGCAGGAAAATATACTAGGCCAAAATTATCTTTTATTGATGTATAGTATATATTGAATCCCAGCTTTTGAGCCGAGAGTCTAATGGAAACAACCTCTCTCCCCTCATAAGATAGAGGTAAGGCCTGCGTACACATTACCCTTCCCAGACCTTACTGTCTGATATTGCAGTCATTGCACTTGGTATGTTATTGTCGTTGTTATTGTTATGTTGAATCCCGTTGACTTCTTTGTACAATAACAGCAACAACCCAGTGGGGTCCGAAGAGGCTAGGATATAGGTAGACTTTTACTTTTTTTTTTGTATTTTGAATCCCTCTAATAAAAATTCTGGTTTCGACGCTACCAATAGTAACAAATCTTTTTAACTCATTAATGTAGTTGGGATCCCCTATTCTATGAGCCATTCTGGATGGAAAATGCAGAAAGCAGTGCAGTAGTGATAGCAGGTTGGCATAGAATGGCTTATTCCTTTCCTGATCCAACCTCTCACCTTTCCCAGGAACTCGAGAAAACCATAAGGAAGTTACATTCAGTTGCAAATAACGCAATTACAGATGGAAGATACATCGCTATTGGTAAATAGATGAGGTAAATAGACTCGGCATGGAATTTAAGAGAAAAAAAGGGAGACTTTTGAAACTTGTGGTCTTAAAAGCTTAAGGGATAAAAGGTTTGTGGGGCCATGACATTTGTGTGGTTAGAAAAACTTCTCATTAAAAGTACAATGAGTAAAATAAAAAGTTTATAGTTGAATTATTTCCAATTATAGAAATATATCTTTCTTTTTGGAACAGATTAATAAAGAAAGTGTGTCATCTAAATTGAAACAGATGGAGTAATAATTAATAGAATACAATAGAAGCAACATAGAATAAATTTTTACAAATAATCCACATCAAGGGCGGATCCAGCCATATAGATGTGAGGAGTTCATTTGAACGCATAATTTTTTGTCTAGACCTTGATATATCTGCGTAAAATTTACTGAAATTGTTATATTTGAACTATGAACCAATAACTTGATGAATCCATAGAATTAAAATTTCAGATCCGCTGCCTCTGATCCACATGAATTTGTGTAGGTGGGCTGTTGTGAAGGACGTGAATGTGTATAATAGAACGAAGGAGTATATTCATCAGGCTGATATGGAGATGTCTAAAGATACCCTATTGGGAGCTTTAACTATTCTGGGAGTTGTTACTGAAGGAGATGGCAAGAAATTCTTCAATTTTGCACATGAAATCTTGAGGGATCGCTGGGAAAAAATTAGTCACATCTTCTCCTTTTCTAAACGTTTCAGCATTCAACATATTCCAACTCAGTATTGCACATTTCTTAACCGAGCAAGAGAACCATCTCCAGGTGATATTTCTTCTCATCTTCTTATTCGTCTACTAGTGAACTCATTTTCTGACGCTCCTTTCGTTTTATTTTATATGGTGATGATTGATTGGATATTGAACGTAAGAAAGGAATAAAAACTTTTGATATATAAACTAAATATGTACTGTAACACATTAAAAGAACTCTTTAAAAACTTTTGATATATAAACTAAATATGTACTGTAACACATTAAAAGAACTCTTTAAAAACTTTTGATACATAAACTAAATATTTACTATAACATATTAAAAGTACTCTTCAAATTTTGTGGTCTTATGACATGCCTCCTACTATATGGTATAAGAGAGTCTCATTAAAAGAAAAATGAAAAGATAGAATTTAAATTAAAAAATATATATATATATAAAGGTGTCGATCTTTTTGAAACTAACAAAAAAAACTTAAACTATAAAATGGAACGGAAGAATAAAAGCAATTAAGAGCAGTAACTCAAATGGTGCGTGCGCGTATATCATTTTCTTTTTTTATTTTTCACTTGATGTTCGGTATTCATATTGGAACCTAACTCAATTTATTCGCGTCGAAAAGTCCCACATTGAAGGTTAAAGTGTTCCCTAATAAAATCGATTTTATATGAACTCTGGACTTATGATTAAGGATAGTAAAATACTTATCACTAGATCTATCACAATCCTTATTGGTAATGATGCAGATATCATTCTCACTATTTAATATTTACTGCACTACCTCCCATGCTATCTGTTATTCTATTTTATCACAACCTAACACATGACTCACGAAAGGATTCCTTTGTATTATATTTTAAACTTTTACATGACAAAACTGAACCCTATCAAATTACTTGACCAAATGCTTCCAAATTCTTGAAAAGGAAAACTGTATTTTTAAGATACCGAAGTTGATTAGGGCCCCAGAACTTAACTTACCAACGTCTCATAGTTTAACATTATAATTATATGTTAAATGAGGCATAGCCATTGAAGGAACTGAGATAGAACAGAGGAGGGAAGAAGAAAGTAAGAGAGCAGAGTTTGGAAATATCGAATTTGTATTTGCATGCACTGTACATGTATATATATGTATATATATATATATACATACATACATCACTTAACCACTAACTACCTAACAATATATTAGTTGTTGACATCTGTACATTTAGTCCACTAACTAACTTCTAAACTCCTAACTAACCTCTACACTATGCATACTTCTCAACGCTCCCTCTCAAGCTGAGGGATGAAAGAGGTCCTTCATTCCCAGCTTGCTAATCAAATACTCATGTTGTGATTTGCATAGACTCTTGGTAAGCAGATCAGCAGGCTGTACCTTAGTCCCGATATGTTGAGTCTGAATTTGACCACCCTAAATTTTTTCCCTTACAAAATGACAATCAATGTCAAAGTGTTTTGTCCTTCATGAAATATGGGGTGTGCTGCAATCTGTATAGCAGCTTTGCTATCACAGAACAACTGTACGAGGGTGTTCATTGCAACTCATAGTTCTCCAAACAAACCAACTAGCCAAGTGACTTCAGCAACAGTAGCTGCCATGCTCCTGAATTCTGATTCAGCAGAGCTCCTAGAAACTGTGCTTTGCTTCTTGGACTTTCAAGAAATTAAAGCTTTATCAAACTTAACTATATAACCAGTAATAGACTTCTTTGTTTCCACACATGAACCCCAATCTGAATCACAATAGGGAACCAGTTCCTTGTTACCTTTTGCTGGCATAAACAATCCAATCCTGCAATTCCCTTGACATACTTGACCACTCGTATAGTTGCTTCCATATGTGACTACTTAGGAGCATGTATGTGTTGGCTCAGTACTTAAACAACAAAGGCAATGTTTGGCCTTGTCATAGTACGGTATATCAGTTTGCCTACCAATCTTTGATAGCTACCTGGGTCCTCAAGTTGTGCATCTGTAGAGGCTTTTCCATTTTTCATGAATTCATCAAATGCTACTGAGGTGAATTTATGATTGAACTCAAGAGGTGTAGCAACAGGCTTTCCACCAGCTAATCCCAGCTCAGACACTAACTCAAGAGTATATTTCCTTTGATTCATAAGAATTCCTTCTTTAGATCTGGAGAACTCAATTTCCAGAAAAATTTTTAATTCTCCAAAGTCCTTCATTTTGAACTTAGCTTGCAAATATATCCTTATTTGACGTATAAGCTCCACATTGTTCCTAGTAACCAGTAGGTCATCAACATATACCAGGATTACTATCAGATCACCACCTACCCTTTGTGTGAAATGAGAGTAATCATAATGAGACTATACAAATCCCATATCCTTCAGAGCAGAAGTCAACTTCAGGTTCCACTGTCTAGGAGCCTGCTTGAGTCTATACAAGGACTTATGCAATCTGCATACTTTATGATGACACTCCCCCTGGTTGGCAAAGCCATCTGGGATCTGCATATAGACCTCTTCAAGGAGATCTCCTTGAAGAAATGCATTGTGCACATCCATTTGAAAAATAAACCAGCCAGATGTTGTAACCAAAGCTACCACAGATCTCACTGTCACCATTTTGGCCACAAGAGAGAAAGTCTTTTTATAATCCAGGCCTTCAAGCTGACTATACCTCTTAGCAATCAGTCGAGCCTTATATCTTTCCACCTCCGTAGTGGACTTGTATTTGACCTTGAAAACCCAGTTGCAACTAATAGGAGTCTTGCTAGAAGGCAGGTCAACAATGGACCATGCCTGATTCTCCTCAAGGGCAGCAATCTCAGCCTGCATGTCTTCTATCCACTTAAGATCAGTACTAGCCTTAGCATAGGAGGTAGGCTCAGACACAACTGAGTATGCAGCAATACAAGCCTGATAGGCAGGAGACAGCTTGTCATAACAAACATACTGGAAAATGGAATAATTGCAGACTGCTCCTTTGGAGGGTACATCATAGTCTTTTAACAATATAAGAGGAATAGAGGTCCTAGAGGATTTCCTAATAGGAGGTGGAGCAGCAACAGGAGAAGGACTGAAGATTAGAAACTAGCAGAGTAAGATCAACTGATTAATTAGAAACAGAAGAAGGGGAATCGGTTGTAGGAGTTCTAGGAGGAGAATGCACTGAAGAGAAGAGCAATCAGCTTCTAAAAGATCCGAAATGGGAAATAAAGGAGAAGAACCAGAGATAAAATGCTTAAAAGGAAAAAATCCTCCTTGAAGACAATGTCCCTGCTCACAAAGAATAGTTTTGAGTGAAGACCATATAAAATGTATCCCTTTTGCACAGAAGAGTAGCCAAGATGAACATCAGGAATGGCCCTGGGGCTAAATTCATCTGCTTTGCTAGTACAAGTGGCATAGCACAGACTACCAAAGACCCTCAAGTGCTGGAGAGATGGAACCTTGTTTTAGAGTTTCTCAAAGGGAGATGCTACCTTCAACAAGACAGTAGGCAATTTATTCAGAAGATAGACTGTTGTGGAGACATACTTACCCCAGAACTAGAGTGGAACAAATGCTTGAAACCTCAAGGCTCTTGCTATGTTAAGAATAGACCTGTGTTTTCTTTCAACTGTACCATTCTACTGAGGTGTATATACACAGAAACTCTGGTGAATAATTCCATGCAACACCAAGAGACTATTGACCTGCTCATTGAAGAACTCAGTACCATTGTCAGACCTGAGACACTTAACTTTGTTATCAAATTGAGTCTGAACTAGTGTTAAAAACATTTTCAGCATAACAACAGATTTTGCTTTTGTGTTAATTAAGAAGATCCATGTGTACTTAGAGAAATCATCCACCAATGTCATAAAGTATCTCTTACCATCATGAGTTGGAACCCTGTATGGGCCCCAGACATCAGCATGCACAAGTTCAAAAGCAAGAGTAGAACAAGAAATGCTGTGAGGAAATGACAATCTAGATTGCTTAGCTATAGGACACACTGTACAATGATGGTCTTGCATAGGAATGTGAGGTAAACTACTAATCTTTTGTAGAACTTTTAGAGGTGCATGTCCTAGTCTCTTATGCTACAAAGATACAATATAATTCCCAGTAGACTTAGGATGGACTGCCTTATTGTTACTAGAGAACTAGAGATTGTATTTACAGAAGATGTTAGATAGGTACTTTTCTTTGTATTCTACAGCTGCACTAAGTCTTCAGGGATATCTGGCTTCAGGATTTAGAGTCAACACTCTTCCTTACCAATCCCCATTACCTTCCTACTCAAGATATCCCCAGAAATCAGGAAAAAATACAAGAAGACATCTCAACTCCTTTGTAAGCTTTGAGACTGAAAGCAAGTTGTATTTGAAGTCTGGAATGCATAATACATTCAGTAATGATTTAGTTTTGAAGATTGTGGAAACTCCAGTATGACTGATAGTAATCTGCTCACCATTAGGAAGATGAACATTGTTATGGTCTATACTAGTCAGATCCTTGATTTCACTTAGTAACTTGGAATTATGTATCATATGATTGGATGCCCCTATGTCTACTATCCAGTTACCATTGACTATATGAGACATGAAGGCTTTTATAGTACTTGTGTTGTTCATAGTTGCTGCATTTGCCGCTAATTCTACTTGCTTTCCTTTGTTCAACATATGCAGGATCTGATCATATTGTTCTTGAGTAAGCACTCAAGCTGGGGAGAAAAATTGAGGAGTAGGTTGAGGAAGATCAGAAGATTGAAATCCTCTAGCAGTAAATGCATTGTTCACCTGAGGACCTGAATAACCTCTTCTCTTGGCCTTGAAATCAATAGGGTATCCATGGAGCTTATAGTAAGTGTCCTTGGTATGACCTTTCAAGTGACAGTAGTCACATTATAGTGTAGGCCTTCCAAGATTATTTTTAGGTTTGAAACTACTATTTCTATTCCCAGAGCTAGCCTTACTCATTAGTGCTGCTGAATCACCAATGCCAACACTTAGAGCTGCATTGTTTCTCCTTTGACTCTCAACATTAACTACCATAGCATAGGCCTGGTTGACATTTGGAAGAGGTCGAACCATAAGGATCTGTTCTTTAGCATTATCAAAAGAGTCATTTAGACCAGTCAAAAACTAATACAATTTCTGTAGTTAGTAATGTTCTGCATGCTGCTTGGATTCAGGACATCCACATGAAGGAGGAGAAGCTAAGGCTTCATACTCATCCCATAAAACTCTAAGTTTTGAGAAATATTAAGATACAGTTAGCAAATTTTGAGTAATTTTTGTAATCTCCTTGTGAAGATAAAATGATCTAGCAGTATTCACTTTATCAAATCTTTCACGAAGATCTTCCCAGACTTTGTGGGCATTAGATGCATAGATCACAATACTCAGTAAATTTAGAGCTACAGTGTTCATTATCCATTCTAAAACAATAGCATTATATCGATTCCAAAGTTCATGAAGACTCGGATCATAAAGCTCCTTCCTACAGGTTTCTAGCACAAAACCTAACTTGTTTTTGCCATGCAACACAATTTTCATAGATCTACTCCAATGAGAGTAGTTTTCAAATCCTCGAAGCTGAATCGAGATGAGAGCAGCACCTTGAGTATCAGAAGGATGAATACATAAAGGGTGATTGTGGTGAACTAAGTCAATGTTCTGAGTATCAGGTGTAGATGGTGTAACAATGGTCGAAGTAGATTCATTTTCATTGATCGCCATAGTAATTTCATAAATTTGTAAATTGAACAGAATTACTCACTCAAATTATTGTAAAAGTTCAGAAAAGTTGTTGAATTTGCTCAAAATCAGCAAACCCTAGCTTGGAGAAGAGATCGTATCTTCAGCTGCAATTTGAAGCAGATGAGACTAATTCTGGATTCGACTAAGCTGAGCTCTAGTACCATGTTAAATGAGGAATAGCCATTGAAGGAACAGAGATAGAACAAAGGAGGGAAGAAGAAAGTAAGAGAGCAGAGTTTGGAAATATTGAATCTGTATTTGCATGCACTGGACATGTATATACATATATCACTTAACCACTAACTACCTAAAAATATATTAGCTGTTGACAGCTGTACATTTAGTCCACTAACTAACGTCTAACCTCCTAACTAACCTCTACACTATGCATACTTCTCAACATTATAATCACTCTGAAATTGCCTTCCGTGTGATTCTTAAAGCTGCGGAGATGCCCTTTGCTATGGGTGCATCCGACATCACTTAAACATAATACAAATATAGATATATGCCACCATGTACGTGTGCGTGTGCGTGTGTGTGCAATTCGGTATATGCCACCATGTGCATGTGTGTGTGTGCACAATTTGATATATGCCGCTCTGTGCATGTGTGCGCGCGCGTGCTTGTTGTTCTAATATAGAAATGTTGTTGATTGCAGCATTCACATGGGTAAAGTGCAAAAGGGAAGAAGATAAAAACTGCACACATGTCTTCTTGGAAGAAGCAAACATCAGAGGTCATCCGGGCAGCGGATTCTTTGCAGATCATACTTATGTTCGCCTCGGTCTGGTAACGCGTCAGCATGATTTTGATATGCTCATTTCTCGATTGGAACAATTCATTTCTCAAGAAGAAGAGAACGGTACTGCACAAGTTATCTCTATAAATATCCCCAAAATATTGACATGATCGACTTTTATACTTTCATTTAATTTCCTTTATAAAAACAAACTACGTGTGGGATAAAATTTTGATATTAATTTTTAAAAAAAAATATTTGGACGTCGAGTTCAACTAAACAATAGAATCCATTTTGAAAGACAATTCAAGGTCTGCGTAGCAATTTTATTTCATCTGAAAAACAGAAAAGCAAACAACTTTTATAATCAATAGAATAATAACTCCTAATATAATACTCCTCGTGGTCTCAACTACTTTGCTAATATTTGTCCTAGAAATTTAGTAGTTGCATGTTTTTTCCACTTCTCTGTTTCTTTTTTCTTTTCAATCTTAACTAACGTGTATTTTTAAAATTTTAGGTTATTGTATATCGCCATCAATCAACAACCAGTGATCAACTCTTTTAGGTATGCTTGTCCCGATCTGGATCTTTGAGCTATAATACTATTTAATCTATTACAGAGCAACTCAATTTGGATTCCGAAATGTGAATTAATTACTTAATTAATAAAACTTTAAATGATTGTCGATTAATAATTGTTACTACTATTGTTATAATAATACGTGATCCTTATACTAAGAGGAAGAGCTGGTGATGAAAATAATGTGAAGAAATCGATCTGTTCATTCATTTTGATCAGTTACAGAACTCAAAGCAAAGAATATTTGCTTTAAGCCAAACTCTACTGATTCTTTGAAGGACATTAAATTACAATCTTTCTACTTCTTTGGATTGTTGAACTAAATCACTGTTTAGCAGTCCATGGAATGCTATTGCTTTGCTTGTAGCAACTTTTCTTCTTTGCTCGACTTTTATGCAGAGCAATTTCACTATTAAAAAGTGATCCACTTCCTGGTATTTGATGGGCAGAGTTATCCCTGCTTATGCCGGTGAAAGGTAATAGGTACTCGATAGAATTTTCAAGGTCAGATGCGGATTCAAAATTTGATAGATACGGGTGTCATTGTATTCAATGTAAACTTATCACTAGTCAAGGAGGTTGAAATAGTGTACATTTGACCGATTCACTCAGTTTTGAATTAATTTGGTTCGGTTTGATCAATTTTTCTTTTAATTCGGTTCACTTTATAAGTTTTTTTGGTCCATAAATACACAAGTGATAATCAAACTAATGATTATTTTTCTTTGTCCTAGTTATTTTCCTTTTTAGCTACCTCCTAATTTTCTATTTGTCGTTTATTATTTTTTATATTTTTTCTTCTATTCTATTATTTTATCTGTGATCTCTAGCAAGCAGGGGCGGATCCACCCTTTAGGGTGGGTTGTTACGGCACCACTAAGTTGGTAAAATTATCATATATTTATGTAAAAAAAATTCTTAAACTAGGTCAAACATTTAATCCTGGCACTTCCAGTCGCAAGCTAGACTAAAAGGTACCATGGCTGGTTGACTTCATGGTACCTTTTTGAAAGCTTTTCTCGCATGTAAAATTCAAGTTCGAATTTATCTTGTACCTTGTCTAACTTTTTCTTTTTGCCGTGCTTTTTATTTCCTCTGTCCCAGCCATTTTTCTTTTTTGCTACCTCCCAATTTCCTATTTATCTATTATTATTTTTATATCTTTTTCCTCTATTCTATTATTTTATTTGTGATCTCTAGCAAGAACACTCAAAAAAGGACCTCCAAAATTTAAAAATTTCATAAAATAAGCATTTCTCTTAATCTCAAATCTTTTAAGTAGTTTTTTTTCTTTCAAAGTCTGAAAACTTGGATCTTGATGGAAATTTTGGATTTAAATCAAATTTAATTTTTATAGTTTCTTTTTTTATTATAATAAAAGTTTGTGCTATTCTATAACTGTTAAATACAATTTAAATCTCTTT